GGGCTGGACAGACGGGGAAGACCTGCACCCCTGGAGACACTCACAGGTTGTGTTTGTGAATCAAGATGAACAGCCCGTTCAAGGCCAAGAGGCTGAGGGCCCCACCTGCAGACAGACAGACACACGCTGGAGCTGCAGTGACCTCGCTCCCACCCCACTCCCTGCCCACGCTGAGCGTAAGCTGTGGAGTGTGGCCCTGCCCCTGCTGTCCCCTCCCACAGCCCCCACGGACACAAAGCTGGAGACCACATGCAGGGCAGGGGAGTGGGGGGTGGAGGCTGCAGGGTTGGGGAAGAGGTGCTGTGGGGTAGGAATTGGGGGGTTGGGGGTATGGGAGGCGCTGCTCCTGGCGTGAGTGAGGTGGCGGCGTGTGAGTGAGGCGGCCGCACTCACCGAGGGGGGTTGGGGTGTGGTGTGAACCAGGCGGCCGCACTCACCGAGGTCGCAGGCGTGGGTGAGGAAGTCGATCATGAGCGTGGGCTGGGCCAGCTGCGGCAGGATGGCGTCGTGCGTGATCAGCAGCACCTTCTTGTAGAGGCTGAGGGGCAGCTGGGCGAGGGCCGGCAGGTCAGGGTGAGGCCTCCGCCCTTGGGGACACCCGGGTGCTGCCCCCACCCTCACCAACCAGCCTGGCCCCTACCTTGTGCTTGAGGAAGCTGAGCCACATAGTCTGGAAAGCCTTCCTGTGTTCCTGCAACAGGGTCCAGACTGTACTTGCTGCCCTCCTGACCCCAGACCCAGAGCCCAAGCAGCTGCCAGGGCACACTGAAGCCCAGCCCTGAGCCAACGCAAATCCGCTCTCCACTCTTCTGACCCCGCCCTCCCTCTAACTGTCACCATTCAGGCCAGGAGCACCTCGCCCTCAAGGCTGGGTCTCAGAACAGCCAGGAAAGAAGCCTTGGCAAGACGAGGGCCAAGAGGGGGGCTGCGCCCAACACAGCCCGCAGGGCCCACGGATGGCACCAGAGCCTTCAGATTCCGAGAGGCGGTGGTGGCCTCTGACCCAAAGGAGGGCCCCGAGTTCACAGGCCTTGTCACCTCCCACACTTCTTTGAGTGACCCGGTGGCCGTGCGAGCTGCCACCTGTACCCTGGGAGTTTCCTCGTGAGGAAGGCGGCAGCCTGCACGGAGTCTCACACACAAGGAGGCCACTCACCTTCAGGTGAGCAACCTTCCAGGTGTCCCACAGCTCTGCAGGGAAAGCGAGAACAAAGGTCACCTGACCCGCGGGGGAGGCAGACCAAGGCCCAGCCCTGTCCGCCCCGGCCCTCAGTACCCTCACCCGTGCGCTTCACATAGAAGCTGGAGACGGTGGGCTCCTGGCGGGGCAGGCTCACGGCAGACAGCAGCGTGAAGGTGTTGTTCCAGAAGGCCGGGGGCACCTGCGGAGCCGGACCTGAGTGCCTGAGCGCCTGGATGCCACCCCCCAGCCCCTGCCTCCCCGGGAGGCACCAGCATGATGCTGGTGACAGGCTGCGTCGCTCACCTCGGGGTGCTGGCCAGTGACCCGGGCCACGGCCTCCACGGCCGCCTGCATGGTGTGGTAGCGGGTGTCGTCGTAGTCCAGGTACTCCCGGAACTGGGACAGGAGCAGGCTCTGGTCCTCCTCAGGAGAAAGCAGGCCTCCCACCACCAACTGGGGGCATGGACCAGTGAGCAGCCCTGCCCGGCCCAGCACAGGCCAGCACGGCCCAGGCAGGCAGCCCCACCCCACCAAGGCCCCTACTCAGCCTCCTCCTGGTTGGGTGGGCCATGAGAGGCACCCCACACGCACAGGAGCCGCAGGAGGGTCCCAGCCAACAGCCAGGCTCAGCTCAGCAGGCCCCGCCCCGACTACAGAGCCACCCTGGGCTCTGGCCAGGCAGCCGGGCCCTCTGGGACCCCCCAGCCAGGCCCTCACCTTGAAGAGCTCTCGGGGAAACAGGTAGTTGCCTTCCCACTTGGGCTTCTCCAGGGGATGTGCCCCTTCCAGCTGCACGAACTTCATGAGTGCACTGAGGGCCAGCTCCTGGGAAGGGGCAGTGCAGGGTGGCTGTGATGTCCTCACCCCAGATGGGCCCAGAGCTCAGCCCAGTCAGGGAGCCCCTCACAACCAGGCCCAGAGCTGAGAAAACGGCGTCCTGGCCTTCTCTTGTTCCACACGCCACCAGATGGCACTCCGGGCTTCCGTGTCCCACCCACGACATGGGCATGACAAGATCTTGAGTTAAAGAAATCCAGTGCTCGAGAGAGTCTGGCCAGGGAAAGGCACACAGCCCAGGTCTGCTTTATGGCCACCTGACTGCTCTCTCATCACCTGTATCACAGGAATGCCACCATAACCCTTGGGCACAGCTGTGAAAACAGGGGTGTGACGCCAGAATGCTGCCCAATTCAGATTCAGGCTCAGAAGCTCTCATCTCAGGGTGGCCAACTCAGTACTTTCAGGTCCCAGGCAGATGACACCACAAAGCAAAAGAGCCACGTGTGGGATGACAGGAGCAGGCGCCTGTCTCAGAGCTGTCCCTGACTCTCCCTCCAGCCAATTACAGCTATGAACAAATTTAGACCCCAGTGTTGACAGAACTGATTATTTCTTTGTGAAAAGCAGGACGCTGGTTATTTTCATGTAGTATCTCCCCAGCTTTTACAAGTCTGCAACTCGACTATAACTAGAGACAGATGCGTCGGCAAAGACGTGGAGTATGGAACGCTCATACTCCCCCAGCGGGAGTGTAAGATGGCGCAGCTACTGTGGAAAACAGTCTTGCAGTTCCTCAGACGTTAGAAACAGAACTGCCGTGTGGCCCTATAATTCCACTGATGAGGCACATTCAAGCAAAACAAACATGTTCACACACAAGTTTGTACACGAACGTTCACAGTCCACTGTTCTTAACAGCCACAGGTGGAAACGACCCAAATGCCCAGCAACGCACGCGCAGCTGATGGGCGCGTGTTGCACGACGGGACGCCGCTCAGCCGCAGGGAGGAACCAGCCTCGAACATACCGACAAGTGGAAGCCACATACCACGTGCTCCCCCTTGTGACGAGCATCTAGAGAAAGCAAACCCACTGACCCAGAAACTAAATGAGTGGGTGTCTGGGGGTTGGTGTGGAACGGGGTGGGATATGGCAGCGATGTTAACTGGTACAGGATTTCTTTTTGGGGCGATGAAGATGTTCTGGGATAGTGGTAACCACTGCACAACTGTGAACACAGTAACAAACGCTAACTTGTCAATTTTAAATGGTAAACTGTGCATCACTTGTTTCTCAATACAGATTTTAAAAAAGCTCGCAATGCATTCCCATGGCTGCAGACCACAGTGTGGGCTGAGCAAACACAGCTGTGGACTGGCACGAGGCTTGATGTGTGCGCTCTATGCAACAGAGGTGCCCGTCGATGCCTCTGGAGGTGAATACGGGTTCTGCCTCTTCAATATTCAGTACAGGACTTGATAGCCATGTTTGTAAACGGGGCTGAACGCCCGCAAGGTGACGCTCCCATGAGCCAAAGAAAGGAAGCAGCTTTGCCTGGACAATTGTGGGAGCCCCAGACCTCTGATTTGTGGATAGCCTGGGAGTGGCAGTGCAGGGGATGGACACGGATGAGTGCGGCCCAATGACCCACCTTGACCTGAAAGGAGGGGTGGCCCAGAAGCTCTCCCAAGCGGTTGCCGCAGCTGTGATAGCGATGTCTCATCCATACTTTGTACTTCCGTGCGGCTCCCCGGGACCCTGCAGACAGGTTAAGGCGGTCAGTGATAGCAGTATCTCGCCCACACCTTGTACTTCCATGCGGCTCCCCGGCACCCTGCAGACAGGTTAGGGGGCTCAGCCCACATGTGCCACTTTGGGCCCCGCCCAAAGTCTCAGGCCTGGCTCCACTCTCCCACTGTCTTCTACTCAGCCTCCACAGGTGGAAACAGGTCGCTATGGCCTCCAGACCTGTGCTGGGACCTGCAGGTTCCCTGAGCCCTGCAAACAGGAAGAGCAGCTCCTACTCCAGGACTGCCTCACGCAAGCTGCCAGAGGCAGGATCCACATCTCCTCACTTTACTCCAAGACCCCATGTCCCCAGAATGGGGACATAAAGGAAGTTCCGAGTTTAAGTGACCATGTCAAAATCAACATAAAATTACAAAATGGGTGCAAAGCACACAGACAAAAAGTCGTACCTTGTCCAGTGTTCATCTAAACCCAGCTACATAGTATCCGTATCACCCCTGCATCCATCCTCCGCGGGGGCTTGGTGTGTCCTCCCACCAGCCTGCACGGTCTGTGACAGGGTTGGGGGCGCTCATCCCACGGTGACAAACCTCCCTCCGACCCACGGAAACAGAAGAGCAGCCCCGGGGCCCTCCAGGGCTCACCTGTCATGACCATCTCCTCAGAAGGCAGCTGGCCCACAAACAGCTCTCCCCGCTCCAGCAAGGCCCCAAAAAGACGGCTGCACGTGCGGACTGCTTCCTGGATCTCCTCCTGGTCCTCAGACTGCACGAGAGGCGGCGGCAGGGTGCCCAGCCGGGAACTGTCACCTTCGCCCCTGCCTCGGCCGCCCCCCAGCCCTGCTCCCTTCCCCCTCGGGACGCCAGCCCCGTCACCCTCGACCCGTGATCCACACGCCTCCCACACTGACCCTCCAACGCCATCTCTGAACCTCCGAGGGCCCTGCCGCCGCAGCCCCCCGTTCAAGTCCCGCTCCCGGGCCGCGACCCCGGCCCTGCGACGCCGCCGGGCCCACCTGCAGCACGGCCAGGATGTCGAACACGGCGTTGGCCTCACTCCGGCTCGCCAGTACCGCCTCCAGCCTGCGGCCCAGCGCCCGGCGAACGCCCGCGGCGCCCGGCTCCCGCTCCATGCCGCCGCCAACACGGCAAAACGCGGTACCCAGCCGCCGGCGCTCCCTTGACGTCACCACTGCGCGTAGAGTCTGACGTCATCTCTACGCGCCGTACCCAAACCCCATCTTTCGCGCGAGCCCGAGCCCCAGGCGTGCCGCCGACGTCATCGCCGCGCGCCGAGCCCGAGCCCCAGGCGTGCCGCTGGCCATGTCGCTCTTCTACGTCGCGCGGTACCAGGGCCCCGAGGCGGCAGCTGCGGCGGGGCCGGAGGGCGCGGAGGCCGGGGCCCACGGCCGGGCCCGCGCGCTGCTCGAGCGGCTGCAGAGCCGGGCCCGCGAACGGCAGCAGCAGCGGGAGCCCGCGCCGACCGAGGCGGCTGCACCGACAGAGCCGGGGACCAGGAAGCGACGGCGGCCTCGGCGGCGGCGGCGGGTGAACGGCGCGGAGTCGGGCAGCCCAGAGGCGCGGCAGGGAAAGCGACGGAAGGCGGACGGCGAGGACGCGGGCGCAGGTGGGTCGCGGGGCGAGCGGGCTCCCTCCGGGGCGCCGGCGACTCGGTGCTGACGCGCTGCCGGGTGGGTGTCTGCCTCGCAGAAAGCAGCGAGGATGCGCCAGGGGAGCCCAGCTCAGGGAGCAGCGAGGATACGCCAGGGGAGCCCAGCTCAGGGAGCAGCGAGGATGCGCCGGGGGAGCCCAGCTCAGGGAGCAGCGAGAAGGCGCCGGGGGAGCGCAGCGCCAGCGCCGAGGCGGCCCCAGACGCACCCCTGGTCCCCGGCCTGGTGCTGGGGGGGTTCGGGAGGAGGAAGGCGCCGAAGGTGAGCAGCGGCTGTCTGAAGGGTGGTCGGCGTGGGAGGGGAGGCTGCGCAGATTCTTAAGTGTGGCGGTCGCCCCGGAAGGCATCGTTGAGCGAATGCTCCCGGGTCACAGACGCGCCTCACTGCCAGGCCTGCAGTTTCATCCCCTAGGAGTCTGGATCCTGCACGTGCGGAAATCCCGTTTTTTCTGCTAGGCTTGCCCCTGCCATCCCGCCGCGCCGCGCCAGTTCTCTTGCAGGATGTGCTTGCGTGAACGTGCGGGGGTCTCCTGCTGTGCGCTCACCGCCTCAGGAGCAAGTCAGAGGCCATTCCGCAAGCCCCTGGCCCTTGGTGTTTTTGCTTAGCACGGGTGGTTTTCGGTAGAGATCTCTGGTGAGACAGGTGAAGAAAAGGAGAAGTTTGGCAGAGTGCTTGGGCACCTTAGGTAGGGCGGGTGGAGAAGGTTTTCTTTGAGCTGGGATGCGAAGACTTGAAGCCAAGTCAAAGTTGAGGGTTGGGGATGCCAGGCACAGGCCTCGAGGCAGGGACGCCGGCGTGGCTGGGGCAGGCGAGCGCCAGGTCACAGGGCCTCCTGGCTGCGGAAGGGTGGGTGCCACTGTGGGTTGATGGGAGACTACGGGTGAGTTTGCTCAGTAAGTGGTGTCTACTTTTGCTGTTGAACTTCTGTGAAGGCTGCATGAAAAGTGCATCCTGGGGCTGAGGAGGAGCTGGAGACTACAGAAGAGGTTTCCCCGGCCTCCCTCCCCCAGCCTCTGCCACCCTGGGCTGCTTCTGTGTGAGAGCCTGGAAGGTGCTCACCTGGCCTCTCTTTTTGATGGCAGGTCCAGCCTTTCCTGCCAAGGTGGCTGGCTGAGCCCAGCTGTGTCAGAAAGAACGTCAACGAAGATCTGGTTCCTATCGAGGACATCCCTGAGGTCCACCCTGACCTGCAGAAGCAGCTGCGGGCACATGGCATCTCGTCCTACTTTCCAGGTGCCCCAGCCCCGGGCAGGCAGCTGAGGGAACACCTCCCTGGGCACCCACACAAAAGGCTGTGCGTGGCCATGGGTCAGGCGTCCCTGCCACATCGGTGCCAAGTGTGGTCTCAGCACCCTCAAGCTCATGGTTCTCCTGAGGCTGGTGTTCCTCTGGGCCCTGGTGCCATTCCTCGGGGGAGTGGTTCCCAGGCCTCCAGCAGAGCGGCCCAGCCCAGAGGTCACAGGCAGGGAAGCGGCAGGCCCAGGCATAAACATGTGACTTCTCTCTCGCCTTTCTTCGTCCAGTCCAGGCAGCTGTGATTCCTGCCCTCCTGGAGAGCGCGGCCTGTGGGTTTCTGGTGGGCAGAGGCGGCTACCGGCCTAGCGACCTCTGTGTTTCTGCCCCGACAGGCAGTGGGAAGACACTGGCCTTCGTCATCCCTGTGGTGCAGGTCTGTGTGAGGGTCCCCTTCCTCTATAGCGCGTGTGCAGAGGGCAGGTAATAGCCTTGCTGACACAGGAGCCCCTTCCTCCTCAGGCCCTGCTGTCCAGAGTGGTCTGCCACATCCGTGCCCTGGTCGTGCTGCCCACCAAGGAGCTGGCCCAGCAGGTACGCGGACCCTAGACCTGGAGTGTGGCACCGCCAGCCTCTGCTTCCTTGCTTAGTGCGCGGCGATCAGCCCCTGGGTGACCCAGACTAGATCTGGGGTCCTTTTTGCTGCAGTGGGGGAACACCAGCTATCTCCAGGCCGGTGACAGACTTCTCCTGCAGGTGAGCAAAGTTTTCAACATCTACACGGATGCCACACCTCTGAGAGTCTCCCTGATTACGGGACAGAAGTCTCTGGCCAAGGAGCAGGAGAGCCTCGTCCAGAAAACGTAGGTTGTGTCAGGGTGTGGGGTTTTCGAGGTGTCCTTGCTCAGCCTTGCTGGTGGCCTAAGGCACCACAGGAGCAGAGGAGGGGCCGCCAAGTTTAACCGCCTGGTTCCCGTGAAGAGGAGGAGCTCCCGTCTGCCCCCTTCCCACGCAGGGTGGAGTTGGGACTATGGGGTGAGGCAGCGTCTTGCTGTCCGGAAGCCCTTGAGAAAGCTTCCTTCTCTCGAGCCGCCCTTTGGTCTGTAGCGCCGACGGGTACCGCTGCTTGGCTGACATCGTGGTAGCCACCCCCGGCCGCCTGGTGGACCACATCGACCAGACCCCAGGATTCAACCTCCAGCAGCTCCGCTTCCTGGTAAGTCCCCACCCCAGAGGCCTGGGCTTTGAGCTCAGGGCCGTGCCACCCAGTCCCGGGCTCCCTGCCTCCCGCAGGTCATCGACGAGGCTGACCGGATGATTGACAGCATGCATCAGTCCTGGCTGCCACGAGTGGTGGCGGCTGCCTTCCAGAGTGAGGACCCCACGGACCCCTGTGCCTTGCTCCAGCGAAGACAGGCCCAGGCTGTGACAGCCGCCAGGTATCCAGCAGCACGCCCAGGTGCTGGCATCCCCTGAGCAGAGGCCTCTGCGTATAGCTCTCCTTTCTTAGTGCCAAGAGACAAGGCTGGCTTGAGCTCTGGTGCGCAGAACCGCATCGTTCTGTTCTGTGAGCTGGACTCACCTTGCCCCTGGTCCACGGTAGTGTCTACAGTGGGTAGTGTGAAGAATCCCGTTCCCTGGAGTCTCGAGGCAGCCGCTGACACAGTGCCAGCAACACCCCCTTCTCTTCCAGTACCTGCCGTCCGCAGATGCCCCTGCAGAAGCTGCTCTTCTCGGCTACTCTGACCCAGAACCCCGAAAAGCTGCAGCAGCTGGGCCTCCATCAGCCCCGGCTTTTCTCCACAGGGCTGGCACACAGGGGCCTGGCAGATACAGATGGGGACGGGGACTCGGGGAAGTATGCCTTCCCTGTTGGGCTCACGGTGAGTGGGATACTGGCTGGGCAGAGGGTTGCGCCAGGAGCCTGGGGTCCCTAACCAACCCCCACCTCCATCCCCACCCCCTGCTGTCCCTGTAGCACCACTACGTGCCCTGCAGCCTCAGCTCTAAGCCGCTGGTTGTCCTGCACCTGGTCCTGGAGATGGGCTTCTCGAGGGTTCTCTGCTTCACTAACTCCCGAGAGAACTCCCACAGGTGAGGCCCCAGCTGGGCGGGGATGGCAGAGGCAGCCTCTGGTCCCAGCATCACGTGGCTGCAGCCTTCTCTCTACCTAGGCTCTTCTTGCTGGTGCAGGCTTTTGGGGGTGTGGACGTGGCTGAGTTCTCCTCGCGCTACGGCCCTGGCCAGAGGAGGAGGATCCTGAAGCAGTTTGAACAGGGGAAGATCCAGCTGTGAGTCCCTGGGCAGGGGCGGGCCTGTGTGGGGTGGGGGTGCCACTCCAGGGTCAGCTTGGGGACAGGGCCTCTGTGGGATGGGGTGCCACTCCGGGGTCAGCTTGGGGGCAGGGCCTCTGTGGGGTGGGGTGCCACTCCAGGGTCAGCTTGGGGCCCTCTAAAGGGTGCTTCCTTCTGCAAATCGGCTTCCTGTGCCCTGGATCCATGGCAGCCAGTTCCCAGAAAGGCCTGAGCTGCCCCCCACAGGGCCGGTGCTGCCACGGCCCCTGCTCCTGGCACAGCAGGCCCACGATGCTGTGTGTCCCGGCAGGCTCATCAGCACGGATGCCACCGCCCGAGGCATCGATGTGCAGGGTGTGGAGCTGGTGGTGAACTATGACGCCCCCCAGTACCTGAGAACTTATGTGCACCGGTGAGTGCGGCGCAGCCGCCATTGGGGGGTCTGGGGCTTTGTGAGCTCCTGGGCGTTGTATGTGGGACCGTCCTGCCTGGTGTGGGTGGGGTTGGTGTGGAGAGAAGCCGTCGTTCCGTCAGACCCCTGAAGGCTCAGGGGCCAGGCTGGAGATAGCCGCGTTTGATTCCAGGGCTGGGAGGACGGCCCGTGCTGGGAAAACGGGACAGGCCTTCACGCTTCTCCTGAGAGTACAGGTGAGGCTGCGAGGGTCTTGGGAGTTTCTGCTGCTTGAGGGTGACGAGGGGCTGGCCCAAGAACCCCTTTCCACCATGAGCTTCCCTCCAGGAGAGGAGGTTCCTCCAGATGCTGACTGAAGCTGGGGTGCCTGAGTTGCGGCGGCACGAGCTCTCCAGCAAGCTGCTGCAGGCCCTGGTTCCTCGGTACGAGGAGGCCCTGTCCCAGCTGGAGGAGTCCATCAAGGTGAGGGCCAGTGTCCGGCACGAAACCCTCTGAGGGCTTCTCCACGCGTGCACAAAAGAGGAAACGAGGAAAGAGGGTCATACAAGTTGTCCTCGAGGTTCTGGCCCAAGGACAGGGAGCCCCCGGGCGTCAGTGGTGGAAATGCATGGCCCCAGGGAGGGTCAGCAGAGCCAGGGCCGGGCTTCTGCTGCGCGGGGCTTCCCGTCCTCAGCGTTCCGGGCAGAGCCCAGGGTCCCGCAGACAATGAGGGGAAGGAGTGTGTGGTGCTGAGCCGTCCTCTTTCCGCCACAGGAAGAGCACAAGCAGAGGGCGGCCTAGGCCGGGGCTCGGAGGGCCCGAGGGACTGCACCAGAGGACCAGAGGGACTGCGCGCTCACCACCCTGAGCCTCCTTCCAGAGCTGATCACTGATGCTCTGTGTGAGGAAAGGAGTCCCCCAGCGGACACAACCTTCCTCCCTGAGCACGTGGTCTCTGCGCCAGACAGCCTGGGCGTCAAAGCTCAAGCACACGCCCAGACTGGAGACTTTAGGGCCTGTCACTTTCATGGCCTGAAGGTCAGGATGGCCGCTGGCAATGAAGCCTCAGTAAAACTATGAAAAGTACTCCCAGACAGACACAGTGGCACCTGTCATGATTTTGGCTGAGAGTTGTCGGGATTAACCTTGAGCTAATGTTAAAAATGAGGCTCTCGGCCAGGCGTGGTGGCTCGCGCCTGTAATTCCAGCACTTTGGGAGGCCAAGATGGGTGGATCACCTGAGGTCAGGAGTTCGAGACCAGCCTGACCAACATGGAGAAACCCCATCTCTTTTATTTGTCTTGTATTTTGTAAAAATACAAAATTAGCCGGGGGTGGTGGTAGGTGCCTATAATCCCAGCTACTTGGACGGCTGAGGCAGGAGAATGGCTTGAACCTGGGAGGTGGAGGCTGTGGTGAGCTGAGATTATGCCATTGCACGCCAGCCTGAGCAACAAGAGCGAAACTCTGTCTCAAAAACAATAAATAAATAAAAAATTAGCTCTCAGAGCAACACAAATGTGTTGACCATCTTCCCTCTGAAAGGTCGCTCCAGAGTCCCACGCTGACACATGAGGGACCCACGTGGGCTGTCCTGATTTTGGAACAAACGCTGAGAAATGCGGGTAAACCCTTCCCCAGGCCTGTGTCAGGCAGAGTTGCTTGCATTGTCACAGACCAAAGAAGTCAGCTGTGCAGGTCGCAACATTTTACTTTGTAACCAGTCCCCGGCCTGGGTGTAAAGTCAACTCACAGCATGAGACTTTCCACTGTGAAGCTGGAAAACACGCCTTGGAAACACGGACCACTGTCTGTAAAGAGGCTGTTTTGAAAGTCTTGTATGATAATATCCAAAGAAATAGGAGTGAACTGGTTCTTTCTCTGCCTGGAGATACCTGCTTCAGTAGAATGACAGTGTGCAAACACTCCTGAGACTGAGGCTCACCTCGACTTACATTCGCTTGTCCCCGAGCCACAGGCCAAGCTGACACATGAGAAGTCAAATCCCATGAGCAGGATGGACGCTCACGGGGACGCACTCAGACCAGAAACCTCACACCAGACACGCACACACTTCGTCGGGATATAAACGCAACGTTCCCACACAAGGCAAGCTTCAGTGCAGGCTGCACGAGGCACCCTCGTGTGTGCTGGATCGTGGGGCCTTGGCTACAGAGCCGCCCTCCCAGTGTCTACTGTCGTCATCCAATGAGAGGCTTCTCCTAGGGTCCAGGTTTCTGGGCCAGTCCTAGTCCTGGGAGCTTCCCAGTGTAAAAACTAGGCAACAGCAGCCCTGGACGTCCCACCCCAGTCCAACAGCAAAGGGGATGAGAATGGGGGCGCCCTCCTCGACTGGAGCATGTGCTGAATCCCCTTGGTCGGGGCGCACGTCAAGGAAGGCGCCCTGCTGAGGTCTTGGGTGACTCCCACCCCACTCCCCATGCCTGCCCTTGCCTCTGCTGGGGCCCGGAACCTCCCAGTGGAGGCTGCATCTGGGCTTTGGCTGCTGCCTTGGCCTTGCAGCGTCCAGAGCTGCCCAGGGTTCCGTGCCCCTAGCACGGGCGTCTGTGAGCCAACCATGGTGACACACTGCTGTAGTAACTTGTGCTGTGCCTGCTGGATGCACGTGCCCCTGCTACTGGCCACTGTGATCTGACACGTCACCAGCGGCTGTGCTGAACCTGTGTGTTAAAGGGTATGATGAACAGATGGATCTGTGTTTAACAGAATTCGACACTGCCGTCATTTTCCCGAGGTGGACTGGACCTCAGAGGGGGTCAAAGCAGCGAAACGGGAAATGCTGCCTCTGCAGAGCCTGGAATCAGCTAATTCCCAGCACGTTGGTTTTCTCTCATTTCTTAGAAAGCAACATACCCAGAATTATCAAAATGCCGCTTATGATATATAAATAGCCGCCACTGATGTGGTCTGGTTTTTGGTCAAGGAAGACAGTGAGAACTGACTTCTGCTGACCCCACAGTGAGGCAGGCTTGGCTGGTGACATCAGCAAAGCACCAGCCACTGAAAGTCTGTGGACACTTAGGGCAGACAGGAGCAAGCCCAGAACCGGCCCGTGGTGGTTGAGGTACAACCCTGCCCCGCCCTCCCCAGGCTCAGCCTGACAGAAGCTCTCTTTGGGGCACTGCCAGGCAGTGGCCACCAGCCACGGAGATGCATTCCATGCCACTCACCAGCCACGGAGACACATTCCATGCCACTTGCCAGCCACGGAGACGCATTCCATGCCACTCCTCAGGGAGATGCAGCTCAACCACAGCGAGATCCACCTCACACCCACAAGGATGGCCAAGAAGGTAGGCATGGGTGGAGATAGAAAAAACTGGAACCTTCTGTTAAAACAGGGACCCTAAGACTGACAGAACAGAGTCTTCATGGCAATCAGATGCCAAATTACAAACAGGACCTAAGGCTGGGCTGTGTGAGGTTCAAGTCATACACCCACACTTACAGAATAAACCGTGTTCTGAGGCCACAAGATGTTTCTCTCCAGCAGCTAAGCAAGCTCTGGCCTCAAGACGAGCAATATTGAAGCAACTGCAGCTTACCCAGCTCACACACGCGGACTCACCGACCCCTGCTCCACCAGCCACGACTACAGCCGTGACGACACAACGCTGACGGCACTAACTTTCTCCTGATCAGGCCACAAGGCTGACGGCGGTGACTTTCTCCTGATCAGAGAGCACCGAAGTGTGCATGGCCCTGGCTGGTGTGGAGGCTGCGCACAGAGTGCCTTCCCGTCCCCACTTCAGCTTTTCGCATGCACGGTCTAATTATTCGTAATGCATTCGAATGTGATGCCTCCACCCCAAGGTGAAGATGGGACCCATGTAACATGCGTGTTTGCCTGTCACACACGTCCATGTTCCCCTTTTGTGAATATTCATACCTGTTCTGTGACCTGTTGAACATGTGCGCCTGGCCAAGCTGTTGGGCACACACCCGCCACAGCCTCCTCGCTTCGGAAGTGCCTGCTTGTGTCTCTGCTGGAGGCTCCACTTCCCAGCCTGGCAGGACAGCCACCCTGCAGGGTGCAACCCTTTCTAAGAGACAGCTTGGTCCACCTGCGTTGAAGCTGGTTTAAAAAAAAAAAAAAAGAGAGCTCTCCTCCCCAGATTTGTGAACCTTGTGATTGTTCAGTGGACACCTCACGTGTTGCTGGTGGGAAAGTCACATGTGGAGACAGTTGGGCAAAGCCTTGGGACATTAAATGCAGAGTCACTTATGACCCAGCACTTCCCTCCTATGCACCTTGTACACCGCAGATCAGTGAAACCTATGTCCACACAGAAACGTGTACGCAAATCTCTCCGCAGCACTGTTCACAGTAGCCAAAAACTAAAAACTAACCACATGTCCATGAGCTGATGAATGGATAATAAAACGTGGGAAATCCACACCAGGAGAGAAAAAGGAGTGAGGCACCAGCACAGGCACCATGTGGATGAACTCGAAACCCAACGCTAAGTGAAGGAAGGCTCCAGAACCTGACGCTAAATGAAGGAAGGCTCCAGCCGTAGGGAGTGTCCCAGGCACAGCCAGAGATTAAAGGGCGCCAGGGCCGGGAGTGGGGGCTGGGGCTGGGGACACGGTGGCCGGGAGTGGGTGGGGCTTGTTTTGGGGATGATGAGAATGTTCTTAGATTGTGTGTGGTGATGGCTGCTCACCTCTATAAACCTTTTACTAAAAACCATGGACTGGGTGGATACAGTGTGTGAATTCTCTCTGAGTCCAGCACTTTGTTTGAAAAAGGTGGACGATGCCAACATCACTAACCACCAGGGAGACGCATGCCACGGCCATGCCCGGCTCACTGGAGTTGTGAGGATGGAAACACCAGCCCGCCTCCCTCAATTCAGACCTCAGCGTGGATCCAAAGAATGTCTGGGATGGGGACTGGCAGCTGATTAGAGACGCAATCGCTGAACCTATGGACTGTGTTCAAACAAATGCTAGCAGAATGCAAAGGCAACTGTTATAGGAGGCAGAAAGAAAGGGTTTAGGTAGGGTAAAGCCAGTCTCCGGCAGAAAACTTGCCTTTTAACAAAAATAGCTCCCTTTCTAACCTCTGAGTTCAAAATCACTTCTTCTCTAACACCAAGCAGGCTGAAAGAGCAGACCGTAAGTCACAGATGAGACAGCTCGGGCAGAGAAGGAGTCAGCGGGGAGTCTCCTGGGTAATTGCCAAACTTCACACTTACACAACGGGCCCCAGTAAAACAGTGGGCCCTAATAAGCACATTCCCTTTAGGCACTCTAAGATAGGGAAACTAAAAGCAGACTGTCCGGGGTGCCTGAAGCCCCAAGAAGATGTCTGGGAACAGACCCAGAGACCTCCCAGAAAAGCGTTACAGAGCAACAGACTAAGAGTCTGATAGAAACTCTTCTCTATACAGATACCACACCTGGTCCCAGCTAAATCCTTGGGCCCTGGGAGGACAGGACAGCCCTCCTCTAGCCCCTCATCACTAGCCCACTTATGAAAACCTTGACAGGCCGGGCACGGTGGCTCACGCCTATAATCCCAGCACTTTGGGAGGTTGAGTCGGGCAGATCACAAGGTCTGGAGATCAAGACCATCCTGGCCAACATGGTGAAACCCCACCTCTACTAAAAATACAAAACTTAGCTGAGTGTGGTGGCGTGTACCTCAGGAGGCTGAGGCAGGAGAATCGCTTGAACCCGGGAGGTGGAGGTTGCAGTGGGCCGAGATCGCGCCACAGCACTCAAGCCTGGGCGACAGGAAAAACCAAACAAACAAAAAAGCCTTGACATCTTTACTACAACTTGGCAGCCCACTCAGTTCCCCTCTGACGGAGAGCTGCTCTTTCCTTTTGCTTATTAAACGTCTGCTCCAAACTCACTCGTGTGTGTGTGTCTGCGACCTCGATCTCCTTGGCCATGAAACCAAGAACCTTGGTATTGACCCCAGACCACAAGGCTACCTCACCATGATTGCCATTTATCGGGGATTGATAATGGCTCAGTGCCGCTGGGTGCACAGACATGAGATGTGGGCCTGGCCACACTCGGGAGGTGGGAGGAGCGGGCACCGGGGCACACTCGGGAGGTGGGAGGAGCGGGCACCGGGGCACACTCGGGAGGTGGGAGGAGCGGCACCGGGGCAGCTGTGGCACATCAGGCAGGCCCATCCCAGCTCTTCCACAGTGGCACGGGGGCCTGGAGCCTTCCCCAGAGTTTCGAGAAGAGATGTGAGAGGGGAGAGAAGCCGTTTGCCCGACGGGAAGGACACCAGCTGAGCACACAGAGGAAGAGGTGGGAGGGGCAACAGGAAGGCTGAGGTGTCAGTGACAGTGGGGACCAGGTGGGAGGGGCTGGGGTGGTGCTGAGGGGTGTGCCAGGGCCATGCCGGCGGCGGCAGGATGGTGGGCCACCAGCTGCTGAGGGCTCAGGCAGGCATCTGTGGCTGGGCCTCGAGGGCTCTTTGCAACCTTCACGGAGCACAGAATAGGGAGGAGGGACCTTCAGTGTGGAGTGTAGGGCTGGGCTGTCCACACACTCCCGTCTCCTTACCTCTCTGGAGGAAGGGGGTGGGTCTTGAAAGTAGGATAATGACAGCAAGGTGCACATCAGTCACGTGGGAGGGGCACAGTGTGAGCCGCCCCCACCTGCATGTGGGCCTGCACTGGCAGGGTCCCCATGGCCTTGGGAACCTGAGACATGGGGGTATGGCGGACAGAGTGCCTTCCTGGTGGGCTGCAGACCGTAGGCCCCTCTCCTGGCGGGCCGCGGACCATAGGCCACTCACCATAGGCCACTCTTGGCTGTTGGCTGGTCGGCTGCTGGGTCTGAACTGTGACTTGCTGGGCATTCAGCTAGAACTCAAATGATGGAATGAGAACACCACTCCTCCTGTTGTCCTTCCCAGCTTCTCCCCCACTTCCCCTTTTCCCTAGTTTATAAAACAGGAGAAAAGGGAGAAAGCAAAAAGTTGGAAAGAAACAGAAAGAAGATAAATAGTTAGATGACCTGGCCCTGGTGGTTAAAATAATAATAATAATATTAACCCCTGACTAAAACTACTGGTGTTATCTGTAAATTCCAGACATTGTATGAGAAAGCACTGTAAAACTTTTTGTTCTGTTAGCTGATGTATGTAGCCCCCAGTCATGTTCCTCACACTTACGTGATCTACCATGACTTTTTCACATGGACCCCTTAGAGTTGTAAGCCCTTAAAAGGGCTAGGAATTGCTTTTTCAGGGAGTTCGGCTCTTAAGACGCGAGTCTGCCAACGCTCCCGGCCAAATAAAAACCTCTTCCGTCTTTAATCTGGTATCTGAGGAGTTTTGTCTGTGGCTCATCCTGCTACAAAATGACAGGCCTTAGAGAAGGAGCGGAAAGACGGTGAGCTGTGGAGGGGTGGAGGGGTGGCCAACCCCTCCTTCACCTTTCCAGACATGAGTGTTCGGACAGCCCTGTGCATTCTGGTTGCTGAGAGACTTTAGGGCGAGTTGGAGGAGTCTAGCCCTCCAGGAGCGAGGTCTACACTGTCAGGAAGGCAGAGCAAGGCTGGCCACAAGTGGCTCACGCCTGTAATCCCAGCACTTTGGGAGGCCGAGGCAGGTGGATCACCTGAGGTCAGGAGTTCGAGACCAGCCTGGCCAACATGGTGAAACCCCGTCTCTAATAAAAATACAAAAATTAGCTAGGCATGGTGGCGAACGCCTATAATCCCAGCGACTCGGGAGGCTGAGGCGGGAGAACTGCTTGAACCCGGGAGGTGGAGGTTGCAGTGAGCCAAGATTGCACCACTGCACTCCAGCCTGGGTGACAGAGTAAGACTCTGTCTCAAAAAAAAAAAAAAAAAAAAAAAAGGAAGGCAGAGCGAGTCCACCTGCCAGGGCATAGGCAGGGTCCCGGGTCTGGAAGGCCCACAGCCACCCCCACTCAAACAGTCGTAGGCCCCCTATCAGCCTCGGTTCCAAGGAGATGGTCCTTGTCACTGGATAGCTGCAAACTTGGGCAATTGAGAGGTGGACCCATAGGCTCAGCTGGGCCTGGTCTCCGCAGGAGACCCGAGAGGCCCGTCCAGGCCTCAGGAGGAGAACCATCCCCAAGCTCCCGCCCAGGTCAGGGTGGCAGTCATGCCTCTGGAAGGTGGCACAAGACCAGGCAGCAGGCACAGTCAGCAAAACTGGCCACACCCGCGGAGTTAGGGAGCAGAGGAGGGCACAGCCTCCCCAGAGCACAGCTGTGCCCATCCAGGCCCAGAGGGAGGCGGTGGGTGGTGTGAGCCACCTGCGTGTGGCTCACCTGCTGCGGCTCCCCGGGCACTCCCCGGCCTTACTGATTAAGCAGAGAGAAGCCCAGGGTGGGGGCGGCCTCTCGGGCCTTTCAGAGAAACCTCACGCCGTTTCTGGAGAAGTGCGCCCCTGACCCAAGGTCCACCCTTGCCAATGACACTGCTGGGCTCCACATCACTGTGGGAAGGCGTGGGAAAGAAAAAGAAACCAGTGTACGGGTGGCAGGGACGATCCGCACCCGAAGGCGCTCCCCTCGAAGGCCCCGCTGCACTCCTGGACCGCATCCTCCCGTGGCTGAGGAAGGAGGCTGAGGAAGGAGGTGCATCCAGGCTCCCCCATCTGCGGCCCAGCCTCAGCTCTGCTACGGAGAGGCCGCCAGGCTGGGGCAGGCAGCACGGTGGCCCACACCCCGAGCTCCCCCAGCGTCCCGGCCCCTGGCAGCCCCATTGCCAGCCAGGGTCTGGCGTCTCTGAGCCAGGCGGCCCAGCTTCCTGGGCCAGGCCATTTGCACCAAGACCCTGAGAAGTCGCCCAGGCTCCACACAGTGGTTTGGCACATCCCAGGAGACGTCCTCACTGCAGTCCGGCCCTCCCCGTGGCTCCTGCGCCAGGGGCTGCGCTGGGCAGGGGTGGGAGGCAACACCAGCTGCCCACTCCAGGAAGGCCTGGGGGCTCATGGGAGGCATCCGGGGGTGGCGGCTGCTCTGGGCTGTGGCCTTGGGGGAGCAGCTCCCCTGGACCACACCTGGAGACTCTACCATTAGCAAAAATGACAGGGAAAAGGCCTCTGTAGCACTGTCCTGTGACTGTGGGCAGAAAAGGAGGCCTCGCTCCCGCTCAAGGAACCTTCTAGAATGCACCTGCCGCTGCTTGCAGTTCTCTTCTTGGTGGGGCCTACAGCTCCTGGTCCAGGTGACAGCGCTTCCCATAAGGTGGGAGAGAATCATCGCCCACCAAGCCCACAGCTCGGGGGCCAGCAGGCAAAAGGCCAAAGCCCTGCTCATATTCCAAACCAGTGGCCTTTGAACACCATGCGCCTGCGGTTCAAAACTGTGCCTTGGGATGTGAGAACAGAGCTCGCAGGGACTAACATGCAAGTCAGGAAACTGCTTCTGAGGGGCCCGACCCTCCGTGGGCTGCCACTCCCCGCCGCACCTGGACGCCACGCAACCCTCCGTGGGCTGCCGCGCCCCGCCGCACCTCCAGGCCACGCAACCCTCCGTGGGCTGCCGCGCCCCACCGCACCTCCAGGCCACGCAACCCTCCGTGGGCTGCCACGCCCCGCTGCACCTCCAGGCCACGCAACCCTCCGTGGGCTGCCGCGCCACACCGCACCTCCAGGCCACACAACCCTCCGTGGGCTGCCGCTCCCTGCCGCACCTCGAAGCCACACAACTGAGCTGCTCTTTAGTAACCCAAGTTCTGCAACACTCCTTATTCTGATTTTGTATTCCCATTCCATTCTCCCACAGACTTAGTCCTAATGTATTTTATGCTTGGAATCCTTTGACAGCTCCCATACACTTCTGTGCAACAGAAATGTGTACAAAAATTGATCACAAGGCTCTAGGTGTTAAAAAACAATGATCCCGACGGAGAAATCATTACAATTAGTATTGGTATGCAAGTAGTCAAAATAACATAAGCATATTACAAAATAACATCAGCATGGTAATAACTAAATATAAAAAGTGAAATTTAACCCCAGTGAGATGGATCAGGCTGTAAACTGCCTGATTCTGTCGCTGTTCAGGGCGCCACTTGTAACCGCCCTTGATCCCTGGTGGACTGAACAAAGGGGGCAAACGTGGGCATAAAAGACAAGAGACAAGAGAGTATATATGGAAAAACGGGTCAGGGGCACCTTGCCTCTAGTGGACAAGGGCCCTGAGCTTTACACAGCCCTCCGTATTGATTGGTAAAAGAGACAGTGAGAAAGGGAGGGATGATTGTCAGGTAATTGGCAGTCTGCCCATTTGGTTCACAGCAGGCTCGAACAATAGGTGCTAGATTTCCCAGTAGATAACTTCAAGGAGTCCGGAGCCAGGGAGTGACCACCTTCAGCAAATCTGGCAGCAGACGCAGTCATGAGTTTTACTTACATCCTACATTCATGATAAACGGTTTGCTGTTTGATCATATGGCCTCCAGTGGAATGCTGAGTTGGTCACAATCCCTTTGGCCTTTCTGACTCTCAACATCAGGCTATTTGATTTTTTTTCAATCAGTTCATCCATCCATGGGATGACATAGATTCAGCATCAGCACTGTTCTTATTTTTTGTATTTATAGATCAAAACACCAAGGAAACCCCGTGCCCATCATCAAGCAGATGGCACCAGGAGTTCTGCCACTTGACTCTGAGCTCTTCTGAAGACTTCACCAGTCAGAGCTTGACAGGTTCTCCTTCACACGTGGCCCAAAGCCAGAAGAGAAGCCTCCCGGCCTGCAGGCAGCTTCGTGGGTGGCACGTGGCCTCCTCAACCTTGATGGCGGCACTCAGGGCTGTCCTCTGGCAGAGCTCTCACCAGGCAGCAGCTGATGAGAAGACCCAGATGATGACGGAAGCTCTGGAGACATTCCTAAGGTCCTGTGACTGTGTTTGGAAGGTCTTTGCATCTGTGCAGCTCAGCATGAGGGGCAGATCAGCAGAGCCACACTCTGGCAGCCTGGGGTGGTGAACTGATTGTTGCTGTCCTCAGGCTCATGCTCCAGTCTCACCGTGCATGGCTCCCAGCCCCTCCCTTGGCCCCGGGGGACCCTCCGGTGAGCATCACTGCCTACTCTCCAACACGCCCTCTGTCCCCTGCGCTTTGCTTTCCACATCGAGGGCCATTTGCCTTCTTAAGGTGAGTTTGTTTGTGGCAAATGTTTTCAGTTTTTGTCTGTGTTTGTTTCACTCTTATCCTTGAAAGACAGTTTAATCCCAGCACTTTAAAGCTACTTCTGGTTTCCACAGTTCCTATTAAGAAGGAAGCTGTCCGTGGAATCGCCTTTCCTTTGTGAGAAATCTGTTTTCCTCCTGGATTCTTTCATGGTTTTCTCATCTGCTTTGAGTGCCACAGTTTGCCCAGATGTGTCAGGCACAGATATCTTTGTATCCCGCTAGGGACTTGTTGTATTTCTTCAGTCTTTAGACTGGTAAGTTAAACCCATTCTGGAAAATTCTCAACCATCCACTCTTTGAATAGTTTCTTTTTTCATTCTCTTCTGAAACTCAGTTGAATGTCAGATCTTCTCATCCCTCCCTCTTCTTATTTTTTGCAGAGATGGGGTCTCACTATGTTGCTCAGACTGGTCTTGAACTGCTTGGCTCAAACAATCCACCCACACTGGCCTCCCAAAGGGCTGGGGTTACAGGCCTGAGCACTGCAGCCAACCTGTCTTCTTTGTCTTGTTTCCTAGTCTCATGCCACCACGATTATTTCTCCAGATCTCTCTGCAGCTAACAAATTCCCTAATGTATTGTTTAACTCCTCCATTAAGTTTTTTAAAACTGCAGTATAGGCTGGGCGTAGTGGCTCATGCCTGTAATCCCAGCATTTTGGGAGGCCGAGGCAGGAGGATCACAAGGTCAGGAGATTGAGACCACCCTGGCTAGTACGGTGAAACCCCATCTCTACTAAAAATACAAAAAAAAATTTAGCCGGGCATGGTGGCGGGCGCCTGTAGTCCCAGCTACTCGGGAGGCTGAGGCAGGAGAATGACGTGAACCCGAGAGGCAGAGCTTGCAGTGAGCCGAGATCGTGCCACTGCACTCCAGCCTGGGCGACAGAGCAAGACTCCGTCTCAAAACAAAAACACAAAAACACTGCAGTATAATTTATATACAGTCCAAGTCGCTGTTTCTGATGCATACTTCAGTTTTGATCAATGCACACAGCCATGTAACAACTATCAGCATCAAGATACAGAATCTTTCCACAGCCCCCCAGAATTCCCTCTTGCCCCTTTGAAAGTCAATCCTTCTACTGCCCCAGGCCCAGGTGACCACAGACCTCTTCTCTGTTGCTATAGTGTTGCCTTTTCCAGAATGTTATATAAAAACAAAAACTGCAGCCTTCTAAGTGTGACTTCTTTCACTCTGCACAAGACATTTCAGGCTTATCCCTGCTGCCCCCAGCATCAGTGGTCCAGCCCTCTCTCCTGCTGAGTGCTGTTTTATGGAATCAGTGGGCCGCCATTTGTTTACCCATTGGCTAGTTGAAGAGTATCTGGGTTGCTTCCAGTTTTAGGTAAATGAATAAAGCTGCTATGAACACTTGTGTTTTTCATTGTGGTTACAGTATTTGGTTATCATTTGGGACATATGTCTTCATTTCTCTGGTGTAAAGAATGAGGGGTGGGATTGCTGGGTCATACAGTAAATGATTGTTTTATTTTATAAGAAACTGCCAAACTGATTCCAGAGGGCTCCACTATCTTACAGTCCCACCAACAAGGTATGAGAATTTCTGTTGTTCTACACCCTCACTAGCACTTAGTTTTGGTCTTGTCTTTTTTTTTTTTTTTCTTTAAGGCATTCTCACGGGTGTGCAGTAGTTTCTCATTGTGATTTTGATTTGCATTTCCCAGAGGACAGTGCTTATTTGCCACCTAGAGAGCTTCTTTGGTGGAGTGTCTGCTCAAATCTGTTGCCCACTTTACAAAATAAGTTGTTTTTGTATTAGTAAGCTTTGACAGTTCTCTGTATGTTCTGTTTACATGTCCTTAATCAGCTACATGACTGGCAAAGGTTTTCTCCCAGTAACTTGTCTTTTCATTCTCTAAACAATGGTTTTCACATAGCAAAAAGGTTTAATTTTATTAAAGTATGACTTGCCAATTTTTTCCTTTTATAGGCTCTATTTTTGGTGTCATATCTAAGAAATGTTTACTTAATCTATAGTCACAAAACTTTTTTCCTATGTTTCATAGTTTGAATTTTATGTTTGGGTCTATGATCCATTGAGTTAATTTTCTATGGGGTGTGAGGTAGGGATCAAGATTACTTCCATTAAGTTTTGAATTTCAGTTATTACATTTTTCATTTTTAGATGTTCTATTTGGTTCATTTAATGTCTGCTTAGCCTCTGATAATCTCTTGCTTCTTATTCATGCTTTTTAGCTTCTCCTTGTTTCTTCAAACACATTAAACATATTTGCATTTCCTATTCTAACATCTGAGTCTTTGTAGGTGTGGTTCTTTTGGCCATCACTTCTGAGGCCCCTTCTCTTGCATGTGCTATGATTTTCCACTATGAACTTATAGTCTAGGGATCCTGCTGGCTGGAATTCTTTGAGGCCTAGGTTGGGGGTTCCTCCTGCAAGAATGTACATTCTAGCAGAGGCCTGGGGCACTATAGATCCAGATATGCTTGCAATTAAAACTCACAGTTTGCAGTTCTTCTGAACATGTAAATAATATGAACTTTGGCCCTACACCTGTGGTGGAGAGTGCTAGCCAGGGGCCATAAATTTATAGGAGGGACTTTTTAAAGATGTTCCGTCCACAGCCATGGCCAAGTGAGATACTGTTCCTGCAGGGAAGCTTAGAGGAGTAGTTTGCCCACTTCATCATTTCCTGGTAGTGTTTGCTGTATCCCTTTGTGAGCCCAGCCTTATATGGGGGTCTCCAATTTGGTTCTGCACCTCCCTGGGCCCAAGGCTTCTCCAGACTGCTCCCGAAACTCACCTCAAAGTTCTAGGTCATCTGGGTCCATGGGGACCCAGGTCACAGAGTGTCTTTAGCACAGACCTACCTCCTTAGACTTCAGCCCTCGCCTGGTTTCTAGACTCACTATCCTGCAGACTCATTCATGGTTTTATATATTTTACCTGGCAATTTTTGAAAATCCGGCATTTTTAGATGTTTTGTTGAGATAGATTTTCAGGTTCTCTCAGCTACCATATTACCAGAAATAGAAGTCCTTGTCAGAGTGATTTTTCACAGAAATCATTGTAAATATTTTTGAAAAATTATACTCTACAGCAAAGCAAGCTCTCCCCCAGAGAGCAAATATATGTAAAAATTACAGGGTCTGAGTTCCTTAACACTCGGCCCCTACCCACCTCCAGGAGCCTCCTCAGCTCTGCTCATCAGGCTGCCTCCAAAAGGAAGGGGCTGAGTCCAGCCCCACTCTGGCCTAAGGGGCCTGAACGATGAGTGTGAGATGCAGCTCCCACAAAGCCAAGTGGCCACTTACCTTCTGCTGTGCAGCAGCAGGCCTGGGGTGGCTGAGGGCTGCACAGCTTGTTGCTGCTGGTGGTGTTTCAGCTTTTAGAGCTGCTGCACATGCAGAGGCTGTGCAACCAGTCTGGCCCCCTGTGGTGACAGGAGAGAGGCAGCACACAGGACACACGAAGCACATGTAGACAAGGAGCTTCATCTCACACTCATCATTGCCGCTGATTTGCTCAGAGGAGTAAACTGCATGGCAATGACAGTAAAGGAAATGCCTGCTGCCTTAAAAAGGAGAAATAATGCCCATGCTGCATCTCCCCTTAATAGCGGCAAGCAGCTCTCGCTGGGGGGTATTGTGGTCTCTGCTCCATTTGCTTAGAAGGGGGAGATGCAAGGAATGAGGCTCTAATTAGGCATCTTAAAAAATTAACACGTGGCAAAACAACTCAGCAACTTCTAGAATGAGAAATTTAGAAAGGTTTGATGCAACTCACTCAAGTGAGTTGTTTCGAGTTGGGTGAGGTGAAGTTGACTGCCTACCTGCCGCTTTCTGCAGCTGTCCTATCACAACACTGATCCCGTTGTGTTGATGGAGGCTCTGTGACCCTGGCTGACAGCACCGCAACTGCCAGGACAGACACCACAGGAGGCGTGGCCAGAGCAACCTAGGCCATCTGGGACATCAGCACTGACATCAGTCTTGGGCCTTGCAGGTGGGAGGTGGAGTCTAAATAACAAGAAACAAGAATCACACGTGCCCTGCCCTGTCACACCATGTTATCCTTCCTCAGGGACTGGAATCATCAACCCACCTCAGGTATTAAAAACCATGATGAGGCCGGGCGTGGCGGCTCAGGCCTGTAATCCCAGCACTTTGGGAGGCTGAGGTGGGTGGATCACCTGAGGTCAGGAGTTTGAGACCAGCCTGGCCAACATAGTGAAACCTAGTCTCTACTAAAAATACAAAATTAGCCGGGCATGGTGGTGCACACCTGTAATCCCAGCTACTGCGGAGGCCGACACAGGAGAATCACTTGAACCCATGAGGAGAAGGTTGCAATGAGCTAAGACTGGGCCATTGAACTCCAGCCCAGGCAACAAGAGTGAAACTCCTTCTCAAAAAAAAAAAAAAGCCAGGCGTGGTGGCTCACGCCTGCAATCCCAACACTCTGGGAGGCCAAGGCAGGTGGATCGCCTGAGGTCAGGAGTTCAAGACCAGCCTGACCAACATGGTGAAACCCTGTCTCTACTAAAAATACAAAAATTAGCTGGGCATGGTGGCGCATGCCTGTAATCCCAGCTACTCGGAGGCTGAGGCAGGAGAATTGCTTGAAACCGGGATGCAGAGGCTGTGGTGAGCCGAGATCACACCATTGCACTCCAGCTGGGGCAACAAGAGCGAAACTCCAACTCAAAAAAAAAAAAAAAAAAAAAAGAATGATGACTGAACGCTTATGAGTCAGGCTACCTGGAGGTTGGCCATGATGGTACCTGTCACCAGGGCTCTGGGCCCGGCTAATTTTTTTGTATTTTTAGTAGAGACGGGGTTTCACCGTGTTCGCCAGGATGGTCTCGATCTTCTGACCTCGTGATCTGCCCGCCTCAGCCTCCCAAAGTGCTGGGATTACAGGCGTGAGCCACTGCACCTGGCCAAGCCGCCTGTTTCTAATGGCACATCCTGACTGGCCCTCGGCCCCTACAAATGCGCTGCCAGCAGCTCCCTCCCACGCACAGGACACAACACACACTCTTACACATGACACACAAAGCTCATGCAGAGACACACCATCCTCAGAAACGCCTGCACACAAGGCTGGCCCTGGGCTGGCCTCGGGGAACTTGGGATTTGAGGAGGTGACCACCATTCTCTGACGCACAGCCCCTCATCCTCTGGGCCTGTGCTGCCTTCTCCCTATGTTCTGAGTTCTCATCACACAGCCCTGAGCTTCCTGAATGCACTGCACTGCTCCCTGTCATGTGCATGTGTGCACTACTCCTGCTGCCATGAATTTCCCTCCCCTGTAACCATCTAGGAACTTCCTATTTGCTTTGACGACTCAGCATGACCTCCATTCTCCCAGGGTCAGGCACTTCTTCCTCTGTACCTGCAGCACCTTCCCTATGCTTTCTGATACCACCAGGACTGTGAGTTCCTAGGGTCATGTGCTGGTTTTCCACTTTGAGTAGGTGATTAAAAATGGATGGATGGATGGATGGATGGATGGATGGATGGATGGATGGATAGATAAGAGGATGGGTGGATGGATGGGTAGATGGATGGACAGATGAGTACATGGAGAGATGGATAGCTGGATGGGTGGATGAATGGATGAATGAATGGATGGGATGGCTGGCTGAGTGGGTGGGTGGATGGGTGGATATATGGATGGGTGGGTGGGTGGGTGGGTGAATGCATGAGTAGATAGATGGATAGGTGGATGGATAGATGGATAGACAAGCAGATGGGTAGATGAATGGATAGATGAATGGGTGGATGGGTGGGTGGATGGACAAGTTGGTAGGTGGATAGGTGGATGGGTGGGTGAGTGGATGAATGGAGGGACAGATGAGTAGGTGGATGGGTAGGTGGGTGAATGGATGGATGGATGGACAGACAGGTAGGTAGATGGATAGATGAGTGGGTGGGTGGGTGAGTGAATGGGTAGAAAAGCACTGAGACTATAGGTGTGAGCCACTGCCCCCAGTATATGTATTTTAAATTTAGCCATTAAATTTGAAAGATAAAGGATATAAAGTGGATGTTTAAAATCTTTTTCTTTTTTCTTTTTTTTTTTTTGAGATGGAGTCTCCCTCTGTCGCCCAGGCTGGAGTGCAGCGGCGCGATCTCGGCTCACTGCAAGCTCCGCCTCCCAGGTTCACGCCATTCTCCTGCCTCAGCCTCCGAGTAGCTGGGACTACAGGCGCCCGCCACTGCACCCGGCTAGTTTTTTGTAGACGGGGTTTCACCATGTTAGCCAGGATGGTCTCGATCTCCTGACCTCGTGATCCACCCGCCTCAGCCTCCCAAAGTGCTGGGATTACAGGCTTAGAGTCACCGCGCCCGGCCAATATTTTTCTTAAATACAGCACAAACTCACATCTTAGGGGTGCACCAAGTCACATTTCAGCTGGATGCCTGCATGTCAAAATCTCTGATTAGCCAAAGCCAATATAACCATCAATAGAATGAACTCTGTGACAAATGAATAAATCTGACATTTTATTTTTAAAATAATATTTTAAATTTAGGGGTCAAGTTTTTTTGTATCTGTGAAAAATTCCCAAACTAGTACTTTTTCTTAAAAGATGTGTCAACAACAAAATTAAACGCTGTCCTTGAAGACGATTTTGCTCAATGCTGTGAATGCCAGTCCATCCCAACGCAAAGATCAGAATCAGCCTCTAATCTACTCTTCCCACCATGCTTGATAATATTACTTACATGTTTGGAAACACATGTTGGTTCAAAAAAGATAAAATGTGCTTCCTAAAGTGTTCTACCATGGAGTCTCTCTTTATGTGTGTAGCAACTATTAATCTATTTCTGTATTTTATTAGAAAGTTCTTGACAATTATTTGTGTGCACAAAATTAACAGCTTTACAATAATCATTCATTGTGCGACAGCCTTCTACCACTGCAACAACAGATACAGGTTCATATTTCAACTGACAGAACTTCTAAAGATAAAGTCCCATAAGGGTTTTTTTTTTTAATCCCAAGTCACCTGAATACATCACAAAGAAAACACTCACCACGTCGCTTTTATTTTCAAGCGGAGCGCCTGCTTCAAGGATGCTGGAGTCTTTACCAACAAAGGTAGAATTCGTAACGTTTTCAAGACTTCAGTCTCATTACGCCCTGTCACAAAGCGCAGGAGCAGCACAATGAATTCTGACAGTTCACCTTGGCAGTGGGCTTTAACATGACTACTATTTGAATAAGTACACAATATTAACTGAGTTGATTACCTCTTTTTGAATATTTATTCAAATTTAATGTCTTTTTTTGTTTCTCTTGAAATTCAATTTGCAGCTTAATTTCTACTATCTAAAAGAAAAAAATCATGAATTAAAACATAAAATCATTAGCTCCTGAGTGAAAACTTGAGGGCAAATTGTAGAGGAAAAGTGTGTTTACCTGCGCAGTACTAGACCAGAAACGCTGGATTTCTCTGGTAGTGGAGGTGCCGTCCGTCTCAGCCTGCTCGGCTCCTCCCTCCCGGTCTCGGCCTCTCTGCGCATCCTGTCCTGCAGCTGCCGGGCCACGGCTCTGACCGTCTGAAGACAATCGCCACGTTGTCTGCGAGGGTCTCCATGCACACAGTAACATGGAAACATCTTGTGTTTTTACTAGATATACATATTTAATTCTGGAGAATTCCAAAGAAAGTCTATTATTTCCATTTTCAGTATCCATTCATTCATGATACTGCTTCAATCAACAATTCTAATAATATTCAAAATTAAAGAGTAAAATGGATATTCCCCTAGAAAATATCCCTTTACTGTCAGCCAAAGACACTTCCGTTAATGGGCAATAAAGTCCGGATGAAACATGAACCACAGTTATCACAGGGCTTTCTATGCAAACATAATTCAAGATAATCCTTCTCAATTTAGACTGTGCCATGGCCAGACATGAAATGCCAGTTGGTATGAAATTGTCCACATGGCCGGGGGCAGTGGCTCATGCCTGTAATCCCATCATTTTGGAGGCTGAAGCAGGTGGATCACCTGAGATCAGAAGTTCGAGACCAGCCTGGCCAACATGGCAAAACCTCACCTCTACTAAAAATACAAAAAATTAGCTGGGCATGGTGGCAGGTGCCTGTAATCCTCACTACTCAGGAGGCTGAGGCAGGAGAGTCAATTTAGCCTGGGAGGTGGAAGTTGTAGTGAGCCGAGATTGCGCCACTGAACTCCAGCTTGAGTGACAGAGTGAGACTCCGCCAAAAAAAAAAAAAAAGTTTGTGATGAAAACTCAAACATTAAATTGGCCATATTAAATTTAGAAATCTTCTTTTACATAATATAATTACTTCTTCACTTCTCTTTCACGATGTGATTTCCACAAAATACTATTCCAACCCACCTTCTTCACAGAGGCCACCTTCCACCTCCTCTCCTGGGCAAAGTCTGTGGCCATCCACTGCATCTCCTCCAGCAGATAGCCCCAGTGGGCCTTGGGCCGTGGGGCCTCCTGCAGCTTCGGCAGATGCCTCTGGGACCACAGACCTGCTTTCCTCAGCTCCGCGACGCGCTGATGCACCTGGTTCTCCTGAAAGATAGGAGCAGTTCATCAGCTGTGAAGACAGAGACTCCAGCCCCTTTGTCACAGGCTCAGATTAAGGACCTGAATGAGGGAACACGGTGCCCTGGTGGTCCCCAATGCAGACCACACTGGGTGCTGGTGGGGGGACCTGCAGTGCCCAGACGCTGTGCATGCACCCCAGATGCCCCCTGCTCTAGAATCTGAGTAGGCTGGTGCCAAAGAATCACCAGAGAAGCAGCTATGGCCAGTTCTTCAGATGCCTTTACCGTCTGCCATATGATAGAGAAACATTTCAACTTCTAATTTAAACAGCCTGTAGCAAAAGCAACTTCTCCCACAGATAACTGAGCTCTCTCACCAGCTTGATCTGCTCTGCAATCTTGTCCTAAGGGCTCTCCTATGGCCACAGGGCTCGGTGGTGGGGGGTGGGGTGGGGCGGGTGGTGCTGTACTCTGGGCTCTGGGCACCATGGTCACAGCCACACCTGCACGTCTGGATGCACCTGGAGAGGCAGCTTTGTGACTTGCTGGGGGGTGCCGCTTGTCTGCACGGAGCAGATGGAAAGGGGTGCTGCCCACAGGAGCTGAGGGTGGAGGAGGTGACAAGGGGCAGAGTGTTTGCAACAACTGGTTACCCTCAAGGGCAGCAAGCAACCCGTCACTAATGCATTCAGTTCTCAATTTCACTAAAATCTTTACCCAGAATGCTGACTTACGGCCCTCACCATTTCACCAGAAGCGCTTAGTAGAGGAAAAACATTGAACAAGTTAGATCTAGTCCTTTACACTCACTGGAAACACAGATTCCTGGAGAAGCACAGACCACCAAGAATATTCTGGCACCACAGCCCATGTGGGTCAGGACTCAGCCTGTGCCCGGGTTTGGAGGGCAGCCCCTCTGGGTACCTGGGATGGTGCCCGGGGAGCTGCCTGCCCCTGGGTGGGGAGGTGGAGCGCGAGCTGCACAGCCTGTGGGGGTGGCGCTGAGAGCCAGCCTGGCAGGAGAGGTGGCGGCGCTGCGATTGGCTGCTGGGTCCTTCCCTGGACTGGGGGCTGTGCTTGTGGCTCTGTCGCCCGCTGCTGGGAGACCTGCAAAGACGCTGCAGCACAGACCCCGGCCGTGGGCAGCCTCCCGGGCAGCTGTGGCAGTGGGGTGTGTAAGCTGGCAGCATTCTGCACGGGAGGCCCTGTGGAGGGGTTGTACTGCTGCTGACTCTGCCACTATCCGGTGAGCTGTGCGGCCTGCGGTGTGGGGGGCATTCCTCCTGCAAATGCAAAGAAAGTCAAGCCCAGCTCTCCCAGTATCTCAAAGCAAAATAGAGACGTGACTTTAAGAAGGGAGTCCACTGCTCCCCAAACCAAATAATGTCCCAAGTGTCCACTGACAGATGATGGGTAAACAGAAAGCGGCCTTAGCGAGGAAGGAAATCCTGCCACGTGCCACCGCGTGTATGAGCCCCGAGGACCTTCTGCTGAGTGACACGAGCCAGGCACAGAAGGGCAGATCCTGTCTGTCCCACCGACATGGGGTCCCTGGAGTACTCAGAGCCATGGGACAGCAAGCGGAGTGGGGTTGCGCAGGGGAGGGGAGGGGCATGCGTGTTTCATGGGGGCAGCGTTTCCGTTTGGGAAGTTGGAAATCTTCTGGAGGTGGACGCAGGTGACAGCTGCACAGCAACGTGAATGTGCTTCATGCCACTGAGCTGTGCACTTAAAATGGTAAAACAAAAGCCAACCAGAAAAACTCCAAGGAGTAACACTTGAATCATTATTATTATTTTAGAAATAAGGGCTCACTCCATCACCCAGGCTGGCATGCAGTGGAGCAATCACAGCATTGTCTCTGCAGCCTTGACTCCTGCACTCAAAGCCATCCTTGTGCCTCAGCCTCCCGAGTAGCTAGGATTACAGGCACGCGCCACCACATCCGGCTAATTTTTGTATGTTTTGTAGAGACGGCATTTCTGCATGTTGGCCAGGCTGGTCTCGAACTCCTGACCTCAGGTGATCCACCCACCTCGGCCTCCCAAAGTGCTGGGATTCCAGGCTGAGCCGCTGCACCCTTCAAGCACAGGTTTTAAAAAAATCATTTTTACAGTAGTTGTTCCAGTCCTAAAAACAGCCAATATAAAAGATTTGATTTTACATTTTACAAGCAAAAGAAAAAAAAAAAATGGAAATTTCTAGAATCTAGGCAATGGCTAAACTATCAATTTGGCCCCATCATTTCTTTCCAGGCCCATGGTCCTGAATGGACCTCCTTCCTCAGCGGCAGGTGAGGAGAGACAATGCCACGGCCTGTGATTGGAGAATGCCTGCCTCTCTGCTGCCCTGTGATTGGAGGGCCCCGGCCTGTGACTGGAGGGTGCCCGCCCCTACGCTGGCCTGTGACTGGAGGGCGCCCACCTCTGTGCGGGCCTTTGATTGGAGGGCGCCCGCCTCTATGCTGACCTGTGATTGGAGGGCACTCGCCTCTATGCTGACCTGTGATTGGAGGGCACCCGCCTCTATGCTGACCTGTGATTGGAGGGTTCCCGCCTCTGGGCGCGCTTTTCCTCCTCTGGTGATCACACACCTCGCCTCCCAGCCCCCACCTCGCCTCACCGCCCCCACGCTGGGAGAAGGCGATGGCTATGCCCTCTGCTCTGGGGCCCCGTACTCCTGGATGGTGACTCCCCGGGCCTGCCGAGGCCCGGCCCACCTGCCCTCCCCGCAGCTGCAACGCTCCTGGCTCACACCCTGCCCAGCAGCTGCAGCCTGAAGGCCTTGACGACCACCTGCCTCGCGGCGTGCACATGGTGCGGCCTCTGCCACCAACCCTCCTCAAGAGGGCGCGGTCAGAAGCGCCCACTCTGTTGTAGCAGCGGCGCGGCTTCTCCACCTCAGCACCATCTGCAAGGTGACTCTGCCTGAGGACACGGGACCACCTTCCCTGACCACCTTCTGTCCCGAGGGCAGAGCGGAGCGCGGGGCACGCCAGGCCCTGCCTTCCTCAGGGAGGCACAGACACAGGCGACCTGACGGGAGTGGGCGCTCTGAGGACCAGGGAGAGCAAACAGGGCGGCGCAGGGCGGGCACCGGGTCGGCAAAGGGCTCTCCGAGGCGGGCCGTGGAGCCAAGACCTGAATAAAGAGAAGGGAGCAGTCGGGAGCTGGTCCGGGCAAAGGCGGGGGTGGCGGTCACGCATCTCTGCGTGCTCGGGCCTCGCCACTCGCCAGTTTCTATAAATATCTGCTGAAGGAGCGCATGGATGTGACTCATCATCATGGACCGGTTTCCCGGGTCTCTAGGCACAGACTGATACGCACGTACGTATACATATTCTGATACCGGTATTTTCTGATGTGTTTTCCTTAAAAACTATGGTGTATTCTATTAGCAATGCAAACTTGCAAAAATTAAAGAAAGACAAAAAACAATAGATGCTGGTGAGGACGTGGAGAACAGGGAACATTGTACACTGTTGGTGGGAGTGTAAATTAGCATAGCCGCTATGGAAAATAAAATGGAAGTTCTTCCAAAAACTGAAAATACAACTACTGTCCAATCCAGTAGTCCCACTCCTAGGTGTATATCCAAAGGGAAATAAATCATTCTATTGAAGTGATACCTGCGCTCGCATGTTTACTGCAACACAATTCACAACAGCAAAGACACGGAATCAACCTAAGTGCCCATCAACAGACAACTGGATAAGAAGATGTGGTGCATATATACACAATGGAGTACTATCCAGCCATAAAAAAGAATGAAACTTTGTCCTTCGCAGCAACATGGATGGAAACAGAGGCCATCATCCTAAGTGAAACAACTGGGACACAGAAAGACAAACACCGCACATTTTCGCCCGTAAGCGGGAGCTAACTCACACGTCCACACAGATGTAGAGTGTAGAATGAGAGATAATGGAGACTTGGAAGGGTATAGGGTGAGGGGAGGGTAGATGCTGGGAAATTACTTAGTGGGTATGATTACGTTATTCCAATAACGGATGCACTGAAAGCCCAGACTTCGCCACCATGCAGTATGTCCATGCAACAAAACTGCTCCTGTACCCCTTAAGTTTATAGCAAAAAAGTTGGATATGTTAAAAAAAAATTAAAGCTTGCCATTAAATTTATAGAATGTTAATTTTTTAGTATGGTATTAACTGACATTATGTGCTTACAACATGGTGCTGTGCTAAGCACCTTACAGATATAACAGTGTCAGTCCTCAGAACAGACTTGAGAAGTGTGATTATCACTGTTGTTCCAATTTTACAGATGAGACAAATGAGATAGGTGAGGTGACGCCAAATGGCAACATCCCCAGAGCCAGCGAGGGCAGGGCTGACCACGCTGCAGCCCACACTCGGAGTATCACAGCACGGGCCCCCACAGAGCAAACAACAGTGTGTGTGAAGACAGCCTGAGATCATCATAGAGAAAAAAAGAATGCTTCTCCTTGGAAAAAGGAAAATATATGAAAACTCATGATAGTTTGGTTTTTAATCACCTGTAGGAGAAACTATGAGTCTGCACAGACACCGCCAGCCTGTGCCCAGTTCTGGGTCAATAAACAGATGCAAGGGCCCACTCTGCCCAGGAACAATCAACAGATGACAGAGTGTGTGGTAGCTTCAGAGCCTCATTGGCTCCCGGCTCCCACAGCCCACTCCTGGACTAGTACCTGCCAGGTACTTTGGCACACAGATACTTTGTGCTGTCGGCATTGACTGCTGGAGAGGAACACCTGATGTCACCTCCAGGTGCTGTAAACCCATCCCAGGATGGCCCACTTCTAGGTGAGGCCTCTGACATCAAAGGAGAATCTGTGACATCAAATCCAATCACAGTACAGTGAGCCACGTTCCACCTTCAAAGTTCATGCTACATTATCCCTGGTGCAGAACAGGGAAAAAGCACAGAATGTGGAAATAGCACAGAACGCATTGCGGGCAGAACATCCTCTCTCTGATCCTCACCAGGAAGGGAGTCAGTCTCAGGCCTGAGTGGGACCAAGCTCTTGAGGCACCCATCTTGCTTTGCTCTGAGTCCATGCCCACTGCCAAGTGGCTGCTCCCAGGGATCCTGCTATCAAGGGGGGTGGCTGGACAGTGAGTGCGGGGACACTCATGTGCCAGATTCTGATGTGCCTGGCTGGCATGGGGAAGCTCCTGGGCACAGAGCTGAGGCCCAGGCCCTGCCACTCCATGAGTGCCCATGGCCTCCCCAGGCCCGCCTCCCATGCCTCCAGCCCAAGGCTCTAACTGGCTAAAATGATGGCTGAGTGTAAAGTCACTTTGCTCCAAGCAAGAACTGAGAGGAGGCACAGGGGTGAGCCCGTGAGCCCACAGAAGCCATTTGGTACATATTTGTTGACTTACTTAAAATGAAAAAAGTTGGAAAATACACTGCTAGAAGGCTAGAATGGTTTCCTTTTTGTTTACAGGCTGACTTCATGCTGGGTGACTGCTACATACCTGTGGGCGCCAGTGTTCACTGCCTCTTAGATGCTTCCATTTTTATGGAATTCACATCTCCAGGTACTGGAGTCCCCATATGCATTTGCTATTAGAAGACAAAAATTATGGGAAGTATAAATGTGCGTTAACTTTTATCACACTGATTTTAAAATAAGTATTTCTCCACTGTCTCTTCAATTTCCATGACAAAGAACATGATATCACAGCTTAGAGCTATTGGCCAGTGATCATAAATAAACTCAAAAAACCCTCCATATTAGCCTTTGAATTTGACAGAAAGGAACAAAAATACTCTTCTCATCATTTAGTGCTTTTCTGTGTACCACTTGCTAAAGGCAGCACAACAGAACCAGGCTTCAGAAGTAGTATGTAGATAAGAAATCTAAGTCACCACTGCTAACCAAAAGTGGAAGCCAGAATTAAATCACTAGAGGTATCTATGTGAAAACTAAATCTAGAGCTTAGAAAAATAGTTGTATAAACTAAGGCAAAAATGACAATGTCAAAATATTTGTGGAAAGAAATAAAACTCTTAAGTTTATAATATGTCTTCACCAAAAAACAGAAGGCTTATGTGGATCTGACAACAAAATCTTGGTAACTGGAGAATAATGTGAAAAGAAAAATGTCTAAATGTTTACTGAGTAGAAAGCAGACTTAGGTTTTATAAAGTCCACCATACATGAAAATGCATTGTATTCTCAACTCTAACTGAAATGAGCACAAAGCCACAGAGGCACCTGCAGAGGTATCCCACACACAAGCATCAGAGCTGCTCTAGGTATTGCTTTCCACCTGTTTGCTTGGGAGAAGGTATAATAAACCTTTCCCCCCACAAGCACAGACACTCAGGCCTTGCCTCATCAACTGGGGGACTGCGTCCTGCATCTGTGACAGTCGCTCCTGGGACATGTCTCCTGGCATGGGTCCTTAGGGACAGCCTCAGAATCAACTCCTCAGAGTGATCTGCAGCATCTGTAAATACATTTATTGCTATTTTTGGGATATTGGGATATGAAATATGTATGTATTGATCCTCAGGCATTATTATCATATAAAACATTTGTTTCAATATCCTTATATATGAGCCTTTCCTTAAGCAGAATGTTAAGTTTCAGAGACCAAAATAGAATAGAGATTTGGCTGGGCATGGTGGCTCACACCTGTAATCCCAGCACTTTGGGAGGCCAAGATGGGCAGATCACTTGAGCTCAGGAATTCGAGATCAGCCTGGGCAACATGGTGAAATCCCATCTCTACAAAAAAATACAAAAATTAGCTGGGTGTAGTGGTGCATGCTGATAGTATTAGCTACTCAGGAGGCTGAGGTGGAAGAATCATTTTGAGCCCAAAAGAGCAAAGTTGCAGTAAGCTGAGATCATGCCACTGTACTCCAGTCTAGGAGACAGAGCAAGACCCTATCTCAAAAAAAAAAAAAAAGAATGGAGATTGAGACAGGTTCACAATTAAAACCAGTGTGCACTATTACTTCAAAGACTGTCAGAATGCTGCAGCAAGCTGAGTTTCAGAAATACCAAAAAAGGCGGGAAAAGATGCTTAAACAAACAACCAAGCTGGACAACATTAACTTTTTTTTAATAAAAAGCTGAAAATTTAACTGGGCATAGTGGCTCACAGCTGTAACCCCAGCTAGTTGGGAGGCTGAGGTGGGAGAATCGCTTGAGCCCAGGAGTTCTAGTGAGACCCCATCTCAACTAAAAATTTTTAAAATTAGCTGAGCATGGTGGCGCCTATAGTCACAGCTACTAGGGAGGCTGAGGTGGGAGGACTTCTTGAGCCCAGGAGATGGAGGTTGCAGTGAGCCAAGATCGCACTACTGCACTCCAGCCTGGGTGACAGAGCAAGACCCTGTTTAAAAAACAAAACAAAAAACAACAACAACAAAAACACTTTTGTTTCTTCTTTTTTTTGAGACAAGAGTCTCGCTCTGTCACCCAGGCTGGAGTGTGGTGGCGTGATCTCGGCTCACTGCAACCTCCGCCTCCCAGGTTCAAGCCATTCTCCTGCTTCAGCTTCCCGGGTAACCTGGATTACAGGCATCTGCCGTTTTTGTATTTTTAGTAGAGACGGGGTTTCACCATGTTGGTCAGGCTGCTCTGGAACTCTTGACTTCAAACAATCCACCCGCCCCAGCCTCCCAAAGTGCTGGGATTACAGGCATGGGCCACTGCACCTGGTCCACTTTTGTTTCTTTACCTCATTTAAGGTGTTAAAGGAAATTTGTTTTTTTGAGCCAATATGTTAACACATCATGGAGATACGAGGCTGAGTCAGGCAGCCAGCCAGGTTCATCCTCTTAGTGAACAAGGGCAGGCCCAGCCCCAGGGCTGCTCTCCAGGGGTGCCGGCACAGGGGTTTCAGCCCTGTGTGGGGCGCTGCACATGTGGCCTTGTGTAAAAGCTCAGTTTTTGGTTTCTACTCCCTACTGCTGGCCTCTCCTTGGCAGTCATCCAGTTGTTTATCCCCTCCTGCTCTTCATACGATGAACAACTGGAGGACTGCTAAGCCTCAGTCTGGGACCAAGCTGAGCACGTGACAGAGAGTGCCTCTGTCCAGAGTGTCCCCGGAGGGCAACCTCCCATGGCACGCATAGCACCCAGCCCACCTGCATCTGCATCTCCCTAACCGGCCTGCACAGCTTGGTTGAGAAGTAAATGCATGCAGAGCTCCGCCTCCACTGTATTCTTGCCAGAAATGTTCAGTCTAAGTCGAGCAGTGAGAAACGCAACACCCAGGCTGTGGTAGCCTCTGCACAGCAACTGATCTGGGCGCTTCAAAACATCAGTGTTGTGAGAGAAAGAAAAGCAAACCCAGGCAGGAACATGCCTTGAGAGGTGTGGATGCCGGCAAGCGTGATAGGAAGGCTGTGGTCACATGGGACGTTTTCTTGTTGGGAGATACACAACAAAGGATCCAGGGGTAAACAATCATGACTGACAACTTTAAAATGTGTGGAGATAGACAGATAGGTAGAACACATACATGCGACAAAGTATTAACAACTGGTGAGTTTACCATTCACTGTACTGCTCTTTCAACATTTTCAATTGAAATTTTTCACAATATGAAATTGGAGAAAAGAGCCAGGTGTGGTGGCTCACGCCTGTAATCCCAGCACTTTGGAGGCTGAGACAGGAGGATCACTTGAGGTCAGGAGTTCGAGACTAGCCTGGCCAACATGGTGAAACCCCCTCTCTGCTAAAAATACAAAAATTAGCCAGGCATGGTGGTACGTACCTATAATCCCAGCTACTTGGGAGGCTGAGACATGAGAATTGCTTGAACCCAGGAGGTGGAGGTTGCAGTGAGCCAAGATCACACCACTACACTACAGCCTGGGTGACAGAGGGAGACTCTGTCTCAAAAGAATAAATAAATAAAGAAGTTGGAGAAAAGAAAACTGACACTGCTCACAGCCAGTTTGTTTGGAGAATCACACTGAACTCAACCTGTGTTCTCAACATTAAGAACATGACATGAGAAGAGTAGGGTAGAGCAGCCCTGTGTTCTGTGTGGGTGCTTGCACTTGCTGGGGCCAGGCCAGAGGTGCCAGCCCTGCCGGCCACAGGTGCAGCACACAGGGCCACCCCACAGCCTGCATCCCGCTCCCAGGAGCCCATCCATCCCTCCACACTCTTCCCATGGGATTCCACATATGTCACCAATGCTATTTGTTACTCTGAGTTAAAGTTGTTTTTTCAAAGGCTGCCTCCTTCACTAGTCAATTTTGAACCATCAACAGAGCCAGCTGATTAACAGATTAAAACTCTAAATGTCTTTTTTTTTTTTTTTTTTTGAGATGGAGTCTCGCTCTGTTGCCCAGGCTGGAGTGCAGTGGCGCAGTCTTGGCTCACTGCAACCTCCGCCTCCTGGGTTCAAGTGATTCTCTTGCCTCAGCCTCCCAACTAGTTGGGATTACAGGTGCCCGCCACCAGGCCCGGCTAATTTTTCCTTTTTTAGTAGAGACGGGGTTTCACCATGTTGGCCAGGCTGATCTCAAACTCCTGCCATCAGGTGATCTGCCCGCCTCGGCCTCCCAAAGTGCTGGGATTACAGGTGTGAGCCATCACGCCCGGCCAACTCTGAATGTCTTTAGCCGTATGTACATGCATATTCAGTAATATTTTTCTATTACATTATAAAGCATATAGCACACCTATTAGAGTGGCCACTATAAAAAAAAAAATGTACAAGCATTGGCAAGGATGTGGAGAAAGAAAACCCTCACTCTTGCTGGTGGGATGTGAAATGGTGTGGCTACTATGAAAATGGTGTGGACTTTCCTAAAAGTTAAACACAGAGTTACTGCGTGACCCAGCAATTCCACTCTGGGTATATGCCCAAGAGAACTGAAAGCAGGAACTTGAAGAGGTATCTGTACGCCCATCTTCACGGCAGCACCGTTCACAATAGCTGAAATGTGGAAGCAACCCAAGTGTTCACCAAGAGGTGGATCCACACCGCAGTCTACCCATCCCATGGAGCGTGATTCAGCCTTCCACACCCGCAGAGTCTACTCATCCCACGGAGCATGATTCAGCCTTCCACACCTGCAGAGTCTACTAATCCCACGGAGCATGATTCAGCCTTCCACACCTGTAGTCTACCCACCCACGGAATATGATTCAGCCTTCCACACCACAGTCTACCCACCCATGGAGTATGATTCAGCCTTCCACACCACAGTCTACCCACCCACGGAGTGTGATTCAGCCTTCCACACCTGCAGTCTGTCCATCCCACGGAGTGTGATTCAGCCTTCCACACCACAGTCTACCCATCCCACGGAGTATGATTCAGCCTTCCACACCCGCAGAGTCTACCCACCCACGGAGTGTGATTCAGCCTTCCACACCTGTAGTCTACCCACCCACGGAGTGTGATTCAGCCTTCCACACCCGCAGAGTCTACTCATCCCACGGAGCATGATTCAGCCTTCCACACCTGCAGAGTCTACTCATCCCATGGAGTATGATTCAGCCTTCCACACCACAGTCTACCCATCCCACGGAGTGTGATTCAGCCTTCCACACCACAGTCTACCCATCCCACGGAGTGTGATTCAGCCTTCCACACCTGCAGTCTGTCCATCCCACGGAGTGTGATTCAGCCTTCCACACCACAGTCTACCCATCCCACGGAGTATGATTCAGCCTTCCACACCCGCAGAGTCTACCCACCCACGGAGTGTGATTCAGCCTTCCACACCTGTAGTCTACCCACCCACGGCCTGTAGTACCCATCCCACGGAGTGTGATTCAGCCTTCCACACCACAGTCTACCCACCCACGGAGTATGATTCAGCCTTCCACACCACAGTCTACCCACCCATGGAGTATGATTCAGCCTACCACACCACAGTCTACCCACCCACGGAGTGTGATTCAGCCTTCCACACCTGCAGTCTGTCCATCCCACAGAGTGTGATTCAGCCTTCCACACCACAGTCTACCCACCCACGGAGCATGATTGAGCCTTCCACACCTGTAGTCTACCCACCCACGGAGTATGATTCAGCCTTCCACACCACAGTCTACCCACCCACGGAGCATGATTCAGCCTTCCACACCCGCAGAGTCTACCCACCCACGGAGTGTGATTCAGCCTTCCACACCTGTAGTCTACCCACCCACGGAGTGTGATTC